TCACAGAATTTTCAAGGAATTTTGGCATTGAAAATTTATTATTTTATGGAGAAAGTGTCAAATCCGGGGAAAGTGTCAATTTCAGTTTAATTATTCCAGGTAAATTAATTTAAATGAGAACTATTCAGAAAAATCTCTCCTTGAATTCCAGATTTCTCGGAATTTTTAGAGAATTCCTTCCAAAGTCTCGGGATTCCGAAAATTTTAAAGGAATTCTCGGAAAATTCAAAGGATTTTGGCAGTGAATATTCATTTTCACTTGAAAATTCATGTAAATTGTGAGATTTCCGTCTTCTTGCCGCTAATAAAATGAGACTTTACTGGGATTTTCCGAGGAACTTGAAATCCATTGACTTTTTCTTCTTAAATCGAATTCAAGGTAAGAAGCAAACATTCTGATGATCACGACAAAAATTTAATTTTTGTGAAAGATATTAAATTGCTTTCCATCAAGTTGGTTAATTTCCCTCAAGTAAATATGTTTCTCTCAAGAAAATCTGTTCCACTCCATTAAATATTCTCACGTTGGACATGGTTTTTCGACAGAGCTAATTTTTTCTCTCAGCGTAAGAGAGAAATCAAAATTTCTGGAAATATTTGTTGGTTTACATTGACTTCTACTCTCCACTCATTGTTAAAAATTTCTTGAAATTTCAGTCATAGCTTCATCTGAATTGTCAATGTTGTGAGTTTGAATTTAATTTCAAATGAAAATATTTATAAAATTTCCCATTCATCTTGAAAATTCAAACTCATTGTGAAAATTAAACATCAAATGCCATTTAATTTCTAATAGATTGAGAATTCAGAAAAATTTTGCCTGAATTTTTCCTATTTTCAGCATTTTTCAGTGCCGCATGGATCTGGAAATCGAGAACTAATGAAATCTTCAAGAAATCAACTGATTCGTCAGTGAAGAAATATTCCAAAATTTTATATAACTTTGGCGTTATTAGAAATACCAAGCTTTTTCACTTGAAATTTTAAGAATTATTTTCTAGCAGTGCTCGAACGCTGAATTGTTCCCGAATTGACATAAATGTCGACAATTTAATAATTTTTTCACACGTATAAGGCACATGTGCATCAATTAGAAATCACATGAGACATTCATGCAAAAAAAAAACGTCATTAATAAAAATAAAAGGAAAGGAGAAATAAAAATGTAACCCTTGAACCGGATCAGAGTCCACGCAGGCGGCCAGTGGCTCGACGACATCAACTTCCGGTTGGTGGGGTGTTGCGGTGTTGCGACGGGTGTCTTATTAGCATAAAATCGTAAATACAAAGAGTCTGTCCGTTAGTTCGTCGTGTAATCAGAACATTTGCATCCGAGACGGAACGTGGTATACGACTCGCCCTCCATTAAATATCACCATAAAATTCAGGGAACAAATGGAGAAAAATAAACTATTCTGTCCGGAAGTTCTGAAATTGCCTCATTTGAAAATTCTGTGAGCTGAATGAGATTGGAACCTCAGAGATATCAGGAGGGCAAAGATTCGATCGATTCGATTAGAATATTCTGAGTGGAATCCGAGCCGATAATTTAAAAATACAACTGCATTGGGAGACAGAAAGCACTTGTGGTGATTTCGTGGTAGATAATAGAGGGAACTTTCGCCGTGATATGATAATTTCCGTGGGAATAATTCTAAAGATGTTTCTAGTAAACAATTACAATGTGCACGAAACGGGGGATAATAAAATGATAATGACTCTCAATTCCTTTGATTTTGGTTGTCAATATATACTACTTGAGGTGCATTCATTAGGGAGCGGGGGTTCATCATCACATGAATATGATATGTAATAAAAAATTATGTGTAAACGCTAAAAAGGGTATGTCAACACCTTTGGGTTTTTTGGGTGTGTTAATAAGTTAGAGCCAGTGAGATTTCCACTGAAATTTAAGAAAATCTCATCATTGGAAAATCTCGCTTGAATGAAAAAATCAGTTAAAAATGAATTTGAGCCAAATAATTTAGCGAGGAATTTGTATAAATGGGAAAAAACAGGTGAAAATATTTTTCAATTTTTAATCAATTGAAAATACAGCTCAACTTGATAGAGGAGGGTGGGGTAAAATGGACACTTTTCACTTTCTTGAAAATATTCATAACTCATAAATATATTTATCAATTGAGCTCAGTCTAGGCTCATCACAAGGGGGAAGAATTGCCCTTTTTATTGAAAAAAAAATGATACAATTTCATTAACAATTCAATAAGTCATTAGCATTTGAAAAAAAGTAAAAAGTGTCCATTTTACCCCAACCTCCCCTACTGGAAATTCATGTTCCGTTGATAATTCAAGTAAGCCGATTGTTGTGTTTGATTGATCATTAATGTTCTATTAATAATTCAAGTAAAAATCTCACTCCAATAGCGTGCAACTTTCCAAACTCATAATAGTTTCCCCTTAAGGATATCCAAGTACTTAATTTTTTTCTCCAGTTAAATGCTTTTCTACTTTTTAGTCTAACATCAGAGCTTTCATTTGAGCCCCATTTGACCCTAAGTAGCCTGATATTTTACAATGATTTTATTATTTAAACTTTGCAGGTCTGCATTTGAATTTTGATATTGAGCCGTTATAAAACATTTTAAAAATCTGAAAAACAATTAGAAAGTTTACTTTTGCAAAAAGATCGATGAAGTAAAAAAAAATTGCAATTTTTCCAAATTACAAGCATTTTCTATAAATAACTGATAAACAATCAATTTTCCACCACCAAAATTATTAAAAAAATAAGGTTTCTGAAAGTTTTAACAATTTCAATTCTTCATCTGTAACCAACTGATGTTTAAAAAAATAATCATTCTGTTCAAAACGTAATTCGAGTGACGCTGAGTATTATAATTTTTTTCAAATTTCTCTCACGCAATTTAATTGACAAATTTGATGATTGAAAATGGTTGAATCTACAGTGTGGTCTGTCCAAACTGTAAAAGATACTTCGATATCCTTAATAATCTTTAAAATCAACCTATTCGTATTACTCAAACAGAAAATTAGTAGAACACGAATCGATGAAGTTGCATAAACACGAAAAGGAAAGATTATTTTGAATAGTACTGATACGGGTTTCATACATACGCGGTTAAATCAAGCAGACATTTGCCTTGATAGCGGGTGGGAAGGGGGAGGGGAGGAGGGGTACGACGCGACGCCGGGTGCGCATCAGGACGCTGTGACGACAGTCAATGTATACACCCGTTGTACAGTCACACAGTGAGCGAGAAAGAGTGAACAAGCATGTGTGGCGGTGAGGGGGAGGGGGAGGAGGGTGGAAGGAAGGGGCTAGAATATTGCAAACAGCGAGGGGAAAATTTAGAGAAGAGAAAGAGAGGAGAAAAGACGAGAAGTGGGGGAACAACTTGTTGCGCACGGTTGGTGCGCCACTGGCGTTCGCCCCCGCGAGACGCGATTCTCTCCGTCCATTCGACGACAAAAATAGCCGAGTCGTCGCGACGCAACAGATATCACTCTTTTGCTTCGCTGAGGACTCACGAACCAATTTCAAACCAATTTTCCAAATGTCAATTTTTTTCCATCGAGGCAAGTGAATTAAACCAATTACATTGGAGGTTAATCTGGTTGATGTCATGCGATGATGGAAGGAAGAGTAATTAAATAAAGTCATTTTTCAACGATCAGTGGCTTATGGAGAAATTTAGGACTTCACCAATTGACAGAGCGCAATGATGCCCGATGGAATTAAATAATTGAGACAATTTGTCAGGAAAATAGTCAGTGACTTGGAATAACCTGATTGATTCAGAAATCTTCGGATTTATCTAATTACTGAGCAGGACGCGCGCGTTCTCGTTTACTTGTGAGAAGTCAATTTCGTATGCTCGTAAATGTATTATAAAAATGAATGATAGGTGGAAAAAAAACTCAATCAATGATAAATGTGGATAATAAGTTGAAAATTAAGGGATAATTGTGGATCTTTGATCAATTCCCTTCCACTTTTTAAAGTCACCCGATCAATACCCGTAATGGTTGAAAAATGAGGGAATTTTTATGAATCGATTTTCTAAAAGTGATTAATTTTCTTGAATTATTCAGAAAATCCGGGAATTCTTTAGAGAACTGAATAATTTTTTAATTTCTCTAGAATGAAAAACAAAAAGACATTTTCTACACTTTTCTAAGAAACCACGAAAGAAGTTGAATTGATGAGATTCATAAAAGTACATGATCAACGAAAATGAACAAAGTGAAAATAATTTGGTGTTAATGTCTACCGCATGAGGGGTTGAATATTTCGGTGTTAAAATGACCTCTTTTTGGAAGTTCAATTCACCGTCAGCGCTGAATCAAATTTTGGTATAGAGCGGATTTTAATTTTTCACACTAACTGTGTTCATTAACATGTTCATGTTGACTTAACTCCGGAATTAATACACTCCGTGCATCCACACCGTTTTCGGTGTGGATTACTTTTCTTTTCGTTTGGTGCGCGTGATAAATATGACAAAATTGGCCATTATGACACAAAGAATAATTTGTGAGTTTAAAGAATTTGAAAATACCGTGAGTTCTTTGGTCACTAACTTCGCGCGTCTTATTGGCCAATCAGAATTAAGGATTAACGGTAGGATAGTTTCGATACATTTCGATATAAAACGACTTCACGAAGCCTTCGTCTTTTACAAATGAGATTTCGCGCATGATAACCAAAAAAAAATTGAAAATTATGATGCAAAGAATAATTTGTGAGTTTGAGGAATTTGAAAATATCGTGTGTTCTTTGATGACTAACTTCGCGCGACTCCTCGGCCAATCAGAATTAAGGATTAACGGTAGGATGGGTTCGATACATTTCGATATGAAACAACTTCACAAAGTTTCCATTTTTCATAGATGGGACCTTTCATCCTGTCCATCATTGATGATTGACCTTTGCTGTAAGATTGCGCATTTTACTCCTCCAAGATGATCAAATCGTTCGCAAACATGTGAATGACAGAAAAAAACAAAAATCTTACCTGAATCTGATGCCCGGGATTAGAGATGTGGAGCTGCTGTGCCTGATTGATCTGCAAAGTGGAAGTGCCAGGTCCAGAGGGTGGTCTAGGTGGTGTTGAGCTCGTGAAGGGTCCCTGAGCCGAGCCAGGCTGATTAGGCCCACCACCCTGTCCCCCTCTAGGTGGTAACGGATACCCAGGACTGCCATGATTAGGCATAGATCCTGGACTACCATAAGGCGAGTACTGCTGCTTATATCCACCAGTCGGTCCAAGCATATTGGGCTTTCCACCCGCCTGTTGAGGCCTCTTCATATCCAAATTGAACTGATTTTGTGCAGCAAACATATCACTAGCTGTCTGACTCGAAAAACTGGGATTACTATTGCTCTTGTGATAAGACGGAGCATTTTGAGCATTTTGATTCTGATTATTTGGTCCATTATTCCCAGGACTACCAAGATAAGCCTCCGCATTACCCCCAAACTGTGGAAATTCGGCGTAAGGTGATCTCGACGCTGGACCCCTTGCGGCAGCAGCTGCTGGATTATAGTTACCAAGTACAAGTTGATTCTTGTGCTGATGTTGTTCAGCCATTTGCTTCAGAGTCTGGGCTGCGGGGCTCATCTCAGATTTGAAATCAAGCCCTGAATATGGCAGACGTGCCGGTGAATACTGCGACCCACCCAGACCCGGACTCGAGTTTGATCTGATAATTCCATTATTTGTACCATTACTCGTAGCACTATTGCCATGCTGATGACTATCCTTGTCATCCTCTATCTTAATCTGTCCATTATTAATCGTACCAGACGTGTTACTACCGACAACACTGCCCGTATTAGCATTGCCACTGGAGCCCAATAAATCACCGCTCTTGTCGTCAAAGTCAAAGTCTTTCATGAAATCCGGATTAATATCCGATATCTCAGAGATGAGATCTTTGAATGCGTCCGATGGAAATATCTCATCGCCAGTATCATCGCCGATAAAGTCCGAGAAACCGGGAAAACCAACGCCATTAGCAGCTGCATCTTTCTCAACAGCTGCGGCACACTGCTCGAGATCAACAAAATCATTGTCCGGCTCTTGTTTGCACTCCACTAAATTACCAATGTCTACACAACCTATACCACCACCACTTCCACCACCACCACCACCACCACCTCCACCAGGGCCATTATTCTGGCTCCTCGATGACGTCGTTGTATTGTCCATTCCCGGTTTAGGTGATGATGAGGAATTCACAAGGTCACTCTTCACTGAGGCATTCGTCAAGGCTTTGACAGTGACGTTTGTCGAGATTTGTTGAGCTTGTGAATTGGCTGCTGACGTTGTGAATTCCAACTGCTGTACAATCTCAACTTGAAACTTGGTGAGGCCCTCGTTGTTACCGTTACCAGAGCCACCAGAACCTCCCCCGTTGCTACCATTTCCACCTCCTTGGGGACCAGTCTGGGAGGTGCCGTTGCCAGTTTGATGCTGGCTGTGGCCGTGATGGGGACCACCAGCCCCTGATTGGGCTTGCTGATGCTGATGCTGGCCCTGGGTGCATTGGACCTTAACTGGTGGCTCACCAAAGGCATCACTACCACCACCACCCGCGGGCTCTAAGTCCTCCGCTGTTCTCTTCAGGAATTTTTGCTGCTGAAACAAACAATTTTACACACCGTTATTTCCTGCATTTTTCAGCAATTCGAATCGATACCGCCGCATGGTGTGAAAATTCTCTAGTGACACTCGCGCAACTTTCAACGGTAAACATAAATATTAAACTTTGTCAATGTACAGTCCCTATTTGGCTTTTAGTCTGCTGTTGCAGCTTTTGATTTTCACAGAAATATTTCATGTCAACGACGATAATTACCATTGGCAACGGAATTGTCGTTGTAACTGTCGCTTACATGTGTCGATTGTTGGTAATAAAGAGAAGGAAGGGATTTACGCAATATTAGACGGGCAAAAGTGTATTTACATCACGTCGATCTGGATCGTGTCACGTACATGGTTTTGCGCTTTGGGTTTTGCGCATGTATTTGCCGTCGGTTATATACTAGGTGGCTTTTCAGTTACCAGCGCATATACCTCGTGCATATTATACCACTGAGACGTCTCCAGGGGGGTTAATGATATGCGTCTGATCCGTCGAGGCTATTTCTACCACACTTGAATTGAGAATCAATTCTAAAATACAAATTCTACATCACCTAAATAGAATTAATCACAGTAATGATTTTCTATTTTCGTTTGCAGGATCAAAATTTTCATTGACAAACGTAATGTCCAACTGTTTATGCACGGGTACAAAGTTTATTTGGTGCTGTAGTCCCTTCAAAATGCTAATTTATCATAATTAAAATAACAAATCCGACATAAAGTCACTCTACAATCATGTGATATCTGTTATTTCTTTTTAAACTTCACAATGGCTTCGATCGTTTTAGTTCAACAGTTTCGCTCGGTGCGAGGTCTAATCAGTGAATAATTTGACAATTGAAGTTCCATGAAAATAGCGTCATATCTCGCGTTCATTGTCATAACGCGTGTGCCACTCATGTTGTAAGAAAAGAGAGAAGAAAACAAAATCGTTATGCAATCTCGTTTCGCGCGGTCGTCGTTGTTACTCGACAAATTGCATATTTATAACCAGTTCAACCATGCGGCGACATTTTTTTTATCGTTGTTTTTTTTTAAATACTGCCTACAGTTGCTTCTCGATGGATTTCAAGGATATATGTATTACTCTTCCAAGATTTTCAGAGCGCGATGACTTTGGAGACCTCAATAGCAGTTACACGTGGAGTTTTTTGCTCGAAAATCATTAAAAGTGAAGTATCATCGAGTAACATACAATCAAGCAGTCGGAATCTTAGTTTACGGCAGACAGAGAAATGACAGTTGATCATTTTAAAGCGTACAGAACATGACCAAGTATTCAAATTTATGAAGAATAAGCGATTTAATCGACGAATCATGTGACAATACCATGAGCTTACCCTTGAACTTCGCCACCCGGAAAGTTTTTCGAGAATTGCTTCTTGCAAGGTGGCAATTTACAATAGAAATCCCGAGGCCTCAAAACCGTTCAACAATACAAAGTCAATGCTCATTTACATGGAAATAATGTACATACATCTGTCGATGGTAAAGCAAGATTGAGACTGGGATTTCCATTCGAAGGAGATCAGAGGACTCGGAGAGATTGCTTTGCTGAACATCCCGTGGCTTATGTATTCCAGGAGATTATACATCCAGTGGCGCAGAGAGGAGTGTAGAAGAGAGCAAAATCGAGTGGCTGGTGATATTGGAATGAGTAAGAGGGGGGGATTTAACCGAGGCCAGCCTTCATGCAAAATATTTCAGCACCTTGGCACGACTCCCATCGGACGTCGAATTGACTATTGAACAAACAAGTCTGACTGTATGTGGGCCCCCGTACAAACTCCCTCGAACTGTTTTCCAGGACTGCTTGATTCGGCGAGGGCATAATCTCGGCTCACTCCATCAAAACGTTCATGCATAAAAAAAAGGATGCGAGTAGTTTTAGGCTTGATTCTAGCGTGTATTCTACTTGTTTCGAGTAGGGTGACTACACTGGTAGCTGTGGGTTGATAGTTTATAAACAGATTTGTAGTCATTTTCGGAAGAGTCGCATTGAATTCGACTCATATTCAATTGATATTTTTTGATAATATCAATAATAATTGTTCATGTTTACTTATAAAAAATTACTATCAACTGTCAATTTCGTGGAATGGTACAATTCTCAGACGATCATTGATACAAACGAACTTCTCATGTTTTTAGAGCTCTTGTGGTATTATAGGGTGAACATTCAATTTTTTGAGCCACAATAAAACGAGAATTCCTCAATGTACTTGAGTTTCAGTTGATATTTTTTATGAACAGGTTTGTAGTCATTTTCGGAAGAGTTGCGTTGAATTTGATTTAGATTTAATTGATTTTTTTGATAATACAAATGATAATTTTTATGTTTATTTATAGAAAAAAATCGAGGTCTGATGGATAAAATTCAAATTTTCTTAGTATCAACTGTCAATTTCGTCGAATGGTACAATTCTCAGACGATCATTGATACAAACGAACTTGTGTTTTTAGAGCTCTTGTGGTATTATAAGTAGATATTCAAATTTTCGAACCGCAAGGTAACGAGAATTCCTTAATGTACTTGAGTTTCCATTCAAAACGTGAATATTCAGTACCAAATTACACTGGATTTTCAGTTAATTGACAATTCAAGAATGTATTCACCTGAATTTTCCGGATTTCCAATAATTTTAATGGAAGAATGGAATTAAAATTTCAAAACAAGTCATAACCTACTTGACGCAACTAGAAACCACCGGATTGATGCAGACCGAAAAATCTACGCATGTCAAGAAGTACGTAAACACTTCAATCAAATTGATAAATACTTTATTCAAGCCGATAAATATTGGATTAAAGTCAAATTTATACTTGATGTAAAAATCCGGGTTCTAAGTTTGAAAATTTCGTCTGAAATGGCAAGCAAAAACTCGAAATTTTTAACGACTATTAATTCACCTGAAATTTCCATATTTTTTCCCGGAAAATCAATTAATTTCTAGAGTATTCAATAAAATTTTAATTCTAAGGTCCATACAAGAATAAATATTCTGGAATTTTTTAAAAATTCAGGCAACTGTTTTTCTGAATTTTCAATCTGTTGAAACTTCAATTGAAAGTCCTTTACAATCTTCACGATGAGTTTATGAATTCTAGCTGTTATTGAAATATTAATGATTGTCTATCATGAAAAACCCAATTTTGCTGATTTTTCTAAACGAATTCGAATTCACAACATTGAAAACTCATGCGCAGCTGTTACTCGAGTATCAAAAATTCCTAACACTCCATCTCCCTGACTTGAATCAAGCATAAACGCGACTTGAATCGACTCGCAGAATCTCCTCCGATGAAATCCCCTCCGACCCGAATCCCTCCCACTCATATCCATCCGAATTCGTCGCTTTGATTCCTGAATATTTTCCTCAGTACCCACCACTTGAAGCGATCGTGAATTCGCCGGAACTTCCATCAACCCTTCCCCCCAAAAGCTCGTCAGCTAACAACCCACCGAGACCCTGACATTCAATCTTATCACCGGCTCAAGCCCGACAATGAAAAAGAAAACGCCTGAGAAAAAAAAATATCTCGCTAACCCTTCAGCGATGAATAAGAACAGTCTCGCTAATGGGCGAGTAAAATAACCAGATGGATGGATTTCAAACGTGCGTAATTGTTTCGAGAGGTTTCCGAAGGCCAATGGGAAGTACAACAGGGGCTTATGCAAGCCGTTGACGAAGGATTAAGAGTTGGCGGGGGTGTAGGTACCAGTGAAGTGGGGTCGGGGGAAACACAGGCACAGGCCTCGACTTCCGTGACACCGTGGAGAGTGCCGGCAAAGTATCGATTGCCAGGGCACAGGGGGGGCTAGAGGGGCAACGGGAGGGCCAGCAAGAGAGAGAGAGAGAGAGAGCGAGTTAGTGAGTTCCAAGCGTCCTCTGTCGTCCTCGAGTCGCTTTCTCCTGCTTGCATATCCATTTCCCTTATATTACCCGTTGAGAGAGCGTGCAGTCCTTCCCCAGTCGTCAACTCCGAGAAGGGGTGGGACTCTCGACGACAGGAACAGAAAAGCTTTTGCAATGAGTATGAAGCACCACCGGGAGTGTCTTGCCTCGCACAAGCCTACATTATGTCCCTCCTACCGTCATAATGGGTAAAACAAACCCCTTCCTTCCCACCACCACCTGAACTGGTTACCATCAACGGAAACTTTTCACTGAGCCCGAGCAAGTTCTCGGCAAGTTGTCTTTGACTCCTATATTCAGAACCCCCTCCGCCGGCTGGCACTCGCGATATATAGGCTTTAACCCTCATACCCAACCTCATGAAAGCTCACTAGGCTTCTGTTCCCCCTCCCTGTCTGCCCCCCCCCCCACACCA